AGAAAGAAGTGGCTATGGTGTATGCAGCACTGTATGCCTGCCAGATCAGCTAAATTCTGCCCTATTGTGTGGTAGATGCAGTATTGTACAGCATTTAGTATTACACACTGTGTCCTTTTGCCTCTGTATTACTCACTGTGTAGGACACACACACAAGTAGACAGATTTAAGGATGTCTGGTTAAATTTCTTAACTACTAAGAATTAAACTGTGGATATTCTGCATTCCAATAATGTCAGGTCTTTGGAATAAGTGTTAGAGTGGAGGCACGGAGAAAATAGTGTTTGGATATAATTCAAGTTTTACATTTGTTAACTACCAACTTTTTTCTCCACTGTCCCATTCCTTATAATTTACAATGTTTGTCTCCATTGTATGCCATATGATTTTTTAAAATAAGAGCTCACCTGGCCATATTCAAAGAAAAAATTCAGTGTGGCCCTTTGGCAGTAAAATAAGACTGAAACATTGCACTACTGGAGACTTAATTAGCTTTGACAGTTCTTGTAAACACTTCCTTTTTAAGTAACAAATACAGGTGTAATTGTCTGTTCTGAAATGAAATAGAAATTAATTGCTTTTCTGATTTCTGTCTGTGTATACAAACCTGAGAAGCCATTTGAGGTTCTACCTTCTCCTGTCCTGTAGCCATACGAAGAGTCACCAGGAGGCAATATTTGCACAGATTGCTACAAGCCTCTGTTTTTAAAGTACAATTTTAAGAGATTTAATCATACAGAAAAAGTTTGAGCCAAAATTATATAGTAAGAAACAAGATTTTAGAAAAGCTTTTGCCTTAATAGGACACATACTTGATTTTCTATGAAGCTGTAGTACTGTGATACACTGAGAAATGCTTTTTTACAGAAAGTTTTGTAGGAAGACCCAGAGGATCTTCCAGCAGGCCAGCTGACATAGTTCAAAAAAACATGCAAACTTTCCTGCATACAAGCCATTCCTTTTACAGGAAAAGACCTCCCTTCCAAATATGGCAGAACACTGCTGCTTGACCTGAAAAATAGTACAGTCCTTCTTTTTTTTTTTTTTTGGGTGGAACTGCCCTATTTTTTTGTTTGTTTGTTTCATTAGAATTTAAAATTGATCAAGGAATTTTGCATAACAACTACTACAAAGCTTGCTACCCTGTCTGCCAAAAGGCAAGAACTAGCCTACTGGGCTGAGCAGGTTTGATCTCCTTCTAGCACACTCTTGATTTGCATGGAGGTAAATTGCAAAGCAGGGCTTATTTTCTTTTGACCATTTCCCTCCTGTGTTTCAGTTGTCACTTGATCTCTTTCTTCAGTTGCATTGAAATGATGACATGCAAATGTTTGTAAATTAATTCTAAAAAACACTCTTGAACCACCCATCGATAACTAGTAATGCTTGTAAAGCTTTTTTTGATCAATTCATGTTTGCTGTTGCTTTGTTAGTTGTGAGATAGAATCATGTTTCTTCTCCCTATTCCAAACATACATTTCGTCAATTTGCTTTGAAATTAATTTCTTAGGAACCACTCTCTGATTACATCAAGTCCTGTTACCCAGATTTACTTTTCAGATTTACAACTTTATTTGACACAGAAGGTCTGAGTTGAAGTTGACCAAAATATATGGAAGGTCCATCTTCAGATTCCCAAAGTTGGGATGTAATCAATTGCTGTGTGTGTGTCTTGGGGGGTTGTGTATATACAGAGGTGTACACTATTGACCAAATTTAGTATCAGAATTCCATGAAATTTTATGTAGTGGAGCTTGAAATCTCATGTAAAACTTATGATAGATACTGTCTCTCTCAATAAAGTGGAACATAAAGAAAATGTAATGAAGAATTTCAGCAAGATGCTGAAATAATATATTTTATGATAATATTGTGCTCATCCTATTTCAATGCTGTCTATACTTAAAATAATTTAACACATTACACAAGGAAATGAGATTAATGATCGATATTTTATAAAGTCAGTGGAGTAGAACAAGACAGATATATGTATCTGCTTCTTTTAATGCTTTGTTTAAAAAATGTCACTGAATCTGCCACTGTGTTAGTGTATAGAGTTGAAGGAGAAGGCATGAGCTACAAACCACTTTAGGAAGAAATTTGTGGTACGTGGAAATTTCAGATTTGGTCGGATTCCTAAACTCTCTTTCTCAAAAGAACAGGGAAGAATCCTGGGTTTTCTGTCATTATGTACTTTGCTCCAAAATTTCTTTACAAAAAACCCCCTCTTTGCTTTCCTGCAGTTTACAGATAAATCAGGCCAACACCAGACAGGAGGGTCTTAGGAATTTTTTTGCATGGGGTTCTGGCAAACTTCAGAGCTGACTAAAAATGCAGCCATCTTCTCATGTGCAGCACAGAGAACCTGTAGTCTCTGGTTTATGGTTTCTTCAGATCCTTCTTGCCTTGACGTTCAGCCTTTTGAGTAAAGGTTTATTCTTTAGATAGCAAAGCCTTAGGATTTTCTCTTCTGGATCTGAACTTCCAAGGTTCAGATCACTTCAGTTCTGCTTGCAGGTAAAAAACCGATAGAGGTAGAAAGCTCTGCAAAAAGATCGGATGGAGGTGATCTCTGGGTTTATGATGAATCACAGATTCAGAGGCCACAGGGAAAGAATGAATGAGGATCTGTTCAGCTGAGAGAGAAACAAGGAATTATGTAAATCTGCAAATGTATAGAAGACTTCAGCAAAGATAAAGGGAATGTCTGTAATGAGCTGGGAAGAAATAATGGATTTAAATTCCATCAAGGAATATTCAAATTAGGAAAAAATTAAGAAGAGTGAAGTAACTAGACTGCCTGGGTTTGGCATGGAAGTTCCACCATTAGATGTGTTTCCAAACAGCTTAAATAAATGTCTTCCCCTATGAATAGCTGATCCTGCCTTAGGATACTAAATACAGGAGTTGACCTTCTAAAATCCCTTTCACTTCCTATCTAAGTTTTTAGACAGGCTTTCTACAGAAATAAATTTCCTAGGATTGTGCTGTCAGCTGGTCTTATTTCCTTAACAAGTCATGTAATAAACCACTAGAAAGCTTTAACAAATCTAACAGTTCCCTTACCCCTGACTAAGATGTTACACAGAAAGAAATGGGAAATAAAGCTGTGTTGGCTTTGCTGTTTTTCGGGGGGTTTCTTGAGAGGGGTGTGGACTGGGTGTTTGGGGTTTTTTTGTAGTTTGAGGTTCTGTAGTGGTCAGTAATGCACCCTGCCAAATTGTTTTCATCCCACTGTCAATTCTTTTCTAAGGCTAGCCTGTGGTATGAATCAAACAGGGACTGTATAGCTTCCCCCTTGGGTCAGCTCTCATTTTGAATGGTTTCAAATAGCCTTTTAAATATTTCTCATCATTGTTAGTGTCTGTTAAAATTAATCCTTTTTAAACTGGGTATCTGAAAATAAATGCTTAAAATCGTATTTGATCATCTTCTTAAATACCACAGTTCTTCAATATGCTGCGTTGTGAACTCATTCACTTCAATACAAATTTTTGCACGTTTGGACAGTTTAAAAAAAATCAGTCCAGCTGCTTATATAGACTATGATGGTCACGCTGCATCCTTTGGTACAGAAGTCCCTAAACTGGTAACAATTGTTCAAAACACTTCTTTATCAATTATAACTTGTATTTTAAGCCACTTTATCATGCATACATCTTTAACGCTGCATGCATTTTGGATCAAAGATCTGGCCGTTTTGTTTTACAGATTTTGCATTATTCCACTTTCTTCATCCAGAAGGGTTTGAGAAGGATTTTAATGTAGTGCATATCAACTTGCATGGATGCTTTCCAAATAATCTACATTTTAAAATACCTACTTTCTTGATTTGACTACTTTTGGCTTTCAGGCAAAATTTCCAGCTAGTAACTATTTCAATCTGTTATAAACTTGGTGAAGGCAGATGGCTCTTTCTAAAATATGTCTGCCAATAACACTCTGAAATGGATACCTGAAGTTTCCCATTAAAGTGTTGCATATTTAAATGTTTCCTGAACTGCAGAATATCAACATGGATAGAAATAATGAAATAAGCTTATACATAAAAAGTAGTCCAACAAAAGCTTTCAACACTATCTTTGAGAATTACATTTTCATAAAAGTAGTGACATTAATGTAGAATGGGTGGGAATGAAATTCTAGAAAGAAACCTAGGTTGTGTGGTATTTCACAAAGATAAACTATGGAAACGTGTCCTTTATGTGTTCCAAGTATAGTGATACCCTTCCTAAGAAAACACTTCTCAATAAATACAGTGTACAAATGTCCATGGCTATTCTTAACTTAGGTGGACTGATCTATTTCCTAACAAGGTTTTTCATGTCTACTTATAGCTAAGATTTTAGAATGAATCAGTCAGCTTAAAAAAAAAAATCATTAAAGTTCTACTACTCTTATAAACAGGAGTTATATTTTAGGAAACTTTGTTTTTTAAGTGTTATTTTGAGAAAACCAAGCGTTTCCAATGAGGTATCCAGAAATCAGCTGGATGATTTGAAAATTAGTTGTTTACTGGAGGTATGTTATTCTGTTTAAGCTCTTGTGATTTAAGGTGTGAAGATAATATAACACTATTCCATCATAATACTTTTCATTTATTTGATTTTTTTTTAAATTTCAGAATAATCTCTTAAGCCTTTTAGTCTCCAGAGGAGTAAATCTTGTGTACATGGTACCTTGAGACAAAAACAGTGAGTTATTTACCTGTAATTTTTCCTTCTTAGAAGTTCTCTGAACCTTTCTTCTGCATATAAGAAATTCCTTCAAGATCTCATTCTGCTTAAAGATCTCATACAAGAAATTGGAATTCTTTTGATTCCAATTATAAGATGTATTTTCCAGTTTACTTTTATTCTCTTGAAGTCAAGAAAGCAACTATAGGTAACTGTGTGAAGCACTGGCAGCTTGTGTGTCCCTGAAGTAAATCCTCAAGAAATCTTGAGGTCTGAGGAAGCTCCTACATAATCCCAAACTGAAAACAGACTCAGGAGTGGAAGTCCACTGATATATATTTATAGATGGCTTTTTCTTTTTTCACATGTGGGTTGAGCTAATTATTACTTTCCATGTATTTCTGTGTCTACTCAATTAATGGCACCTAGCTAACAGAAGCTCAATTACTATGAGAATCCAAATCTCCTTCTGACTGTGTATTCTCTAAACTATTCGTCCAGAGAAAGATTTTATCATCAAAGTTTGACATATTTAATCTGTAATCATATGCTTTCTGCATTTTGTCTCTTTCATTGGATGTTAACTGATAAATCAACAGGGTACTCATTTTCACAGATTTTCTCATGAAGCATGAGATGGTGTGCAGATAAATCATTACACATTGCAATGTCTACCCAATTTACACAACTGCAGTGGATTAGAACTTTTGTTTCTGGAAGAGCTCCTTCAGCTGTTGTTCACTTGTTGCTTCTTTCTGTTGCATCAGCTCCCTGGCTCCTTTGGTCACTCCCCAGCCATCTGGCTTTGACATTGAAGGACAGTATGGCCTGCCTGAAGCAGGCTTCAGATTCTCCCAGTATTCTTTTCGTGCCCTAAAGAATGAAAAGAAAATTCAGGGATTTTTCCAGCACCTCACAATACTAAGGGAAATGTGGCTTAAACAACCATTGCATAGGGTCATCTAACTTGCACAGACTGACTTTATACTTAGATATAGAATTATGAATGAAAGCATGCAATGAAATGCTATATGCTTAAAAAGTACCTTTTCATCCTTGAAAGGAACACTGTAAGGCACTCATCATTAGGAACTGTTTTATAGCAGTCTGTCATTTTTTGATCTTAACTTTCATGAATTACTTTCACATTAATTCATACCAAATCTTCATTTTAAAGACAGATGAGAACTTCTGGAGATCTTCTCCTGCCCCTTCATCCCTCTCCCTGTTCCCAGATCAGATTTAATTCTTCAAAATTATTAACACATATAATGTTTACAGTGATATTTAGACCTCCATATCAGTTAAGCCAGTCCGCTGCATGGACCAATAAAAGTCTTTGCAAGAAGTATGTTGGTGTGCTTTCCAGGTCAGTTATACATACCTTGCTCTGACCCAGGGCTTGGTATGCATGCTCAGGCTATCGCCCCATCTACCATGTTTCTCAGAAGCTTCTGGAAAAAACCCTCTTTCAGGAGCCAGCTCCTCAGCTATTGCTCGGATGTGATATGGCTCAAATCCACAGCAACCTCCAATGTAACGAATTCCTAAGTCATAGGCCTTTCTTGCATATTTTTGAATATCCCATCTGGTTACAATTCTTGGCTCCAGACCTGCAAAGACATTCACATTTTAAGTTTCCACCATGTTCCATTTCAGCACATTTTTTGTTAAGAAATCATGCTGTGGAAACACTTGCACATTGTTTGCAAAATTGGTTGAGGATGTAGATGTACATATTTGAACTGTCTGAGGTAGAATTAATGATGCTAACTTTCAGAAGTCTAGCTTTCAGATTCTGCTATGCTCTGCTGACATATGCTGTTATAAGTATTTTTGGCCTTGCAAAACAGCACCTAGTATCTGCTGAGACTGATCAAGCCCTAAGTCACATGCTTGTCATTCTGCCAGAGCTCTTAGCTGGAATATTGGAGTACTTTCAGTGTTACACCTGCATTTCCAAAGGGTTCCTAATAAACAATATCTGGGAAATCTGATTACAGTACTCTAATCAGTGAAAGGAGAAGGTATCAGCCTACCTGCAACAGGAATAAGCCTGCTCATTATTCCTCAGGAATGCTTACTAAATGTTTTTTTATCATGATCAGCTAGTGGCAGCCAGTTGTTTCACTGACAGCTGGGATCTGTAGCTATTTCTTAGCTCATCCCTTATAATCCCAGCCATAAACAGCTTGCTGCTTCAAACAACTTAATTTCTTGTGGAAAGTTCTGCCTGTAGATAAGTTAGAATGCAGTCTTTATTTTGAACCCTGCTCCCTGATTCAGGTTGTGAACAGAGTGAAGGGATAAGAGAGCTGAGAGGAAGGACTTGCAGACATAAATGAATAGAAAGCGAAAAGAAGAAGGAAAAGCACACCTCAAAGGGAAGGAGGCACAATAGTGACTGGACTGAAAAGAAAAGACCTGGAACTGAAGAAGAAACTTTAACGAATAAAAATATAGGAATAAAGGAATAAAAATCTTCCAACTTCTTTATGCACAGCTGCAAGAGAAGAACAAGCATGGTCATCAGGAGAGTGCAGCATGATGTCTGTCTACTGAACACTCCGCTGGGCAAAGAAGCCATGATGAGTAGTAAGGCTCCAGCAACACAGCAGAGAGGTAGGATTCTTCTCCCTATGTCCTTTCCCAAAAATGCCTAACATGCAAGAAGGTGACACAAAACAGATCTACTCTAACTCCAATGGGTAGTTAAGAGACAGGTGCAGAAAATAAAAAGCAGAAGAAAAAAATGAAATGTTCTTAAACGGAAAATTACTGGTCTCAGAAGGAAATCCTGGACAAAGGAAAAGTAGATGTTCTAATATCAGAAGGAAAAAACGAATTAAGCTATTTTAGACAGCTATTTAAATAAAAGTAAGCTTGTGCACAGTCCTGCTGAGGTAAGAGGAAGCATCAGAAGCACAAATTCATTATTTCCTGTCTCTCATGTATCATTAAAAAGCTAATTCAAAATTGATACAGAATGAGCAACAATCAGAATGCAGCATCTTGCACTCACTTTATAGCTGTATAAGCAACTAAACTCCAGGGAAACAGTAGAGAATCTTTCCCTGTCTTCTCCATCACCCACAGTGTCACAAATCCATGGAACCTGATGAGATACATTTGAGGGTCTTGAGGGAACTGGCAGATGAAGTGGCTAAGATAGTCTCCATTATATTTGAAAAGCTGTGGCAGTCTGGTAAACTTCCCAGTGACTGGAAAATGGGAAATATGACCCCCATTTTTAAAAAGGGAACAAAGGAACACCCAGAGAACTACAGGCTAGTCAGTCTCACCTTCTAACCTCCGCGCTTGGCAACATCATGGAGTGGATCCTCCTGGAAACGATGCTAGGGCACATGGTAAATAAGGAGGTGATTGCTGACAGACAAAATGGCTTCACTAAGGGCAAATTGTGCCTGACAAATTTGGTGGCTTTCTACGATGGGGTTACAGCATTGGTGAATAAGGGAAGAGCAACTGATGCCATCTACCTGGACTTGTGCAAAGCATTTGACAGTGTCCTGCATGACATCCTGGTCTCTCAAATGGAAAGACATGGATTTGATGGGTAGATTGCTCAGTGTATAAAGAATTGGCTGGATGGTCAACAGCTAAATGTCTGAGTGGAAACCAGTGACAAGTAGTGGCCCTCAGGGGTCCATATTGGGAACAGTGTTATTTAACTTCTTTGTTGGCAACATGGGCAGTGGGATTGAGTGCACCCTCAGCAAGTTTGCTGATGACACCAAGCCATGTGGTGTGGTTGACATGCTGGAGGGAAAGGATGCCATCCAGAGGGACCTGGACAGGCTTGAGAGGTGGGTCTGTGCAAATCTCACAAAGTTCAACAAGGCCAAGTGCAAGGTCCTGCAAGTGGGTTGAGGCAATCTCAAACACAAATACAGACTGGGCAATGACTGGATTGAGAGCAGGCCTGTGGAGAAGGACCTGGAGGTAGTAGTGGATGGAGAATTGAGTATGACCCAGCAATGTGCGCTCGCAGCCCAGAAAGCCAACTGTGCCCAGGGCTGCATCAAGAGCAGTGTGGCCAGCAGGTCGAGGGAGGGGATTCTCCCCCTCTGCTCTCCTCTGGTGAGACGCCACCTGCAGAGCTGTGTCCAGATCTGGGGCCCCAACAAAAGGAGTACATGGACCGGTTGCAGCAGGTCCAGAGGAGGGGGTCACAAAAAAGATCAGGTGGCTGGAGCACCTCCCTTATGACAGCAGGCCGAGAGAGTTGGGGATATTTAGCTTGGTGAAAAGAAGACTTAATGGAAACCTTATGGTGGCTTGCCAGTACTTAAAGGGGGCCTACAGGAAAGATGGGGAGGGACTCTTTGTCAGGGAGTGTAGTGATATGATGATGGGTAACATTTTTAAATGGAAAGAGGGTAGATTTAGATTAGATAAGAGGAAGAAATTCTCTCCTGTGAGTGTGGTGAGACCCTGGCCCAGGGTGCCCAGAGCAGCTGTGGCTGCCCCCTCCCTGGAAGAGTTCAAGGCCAGGTTGGACGGGGCTGTGAGCAACCTGGTGTAGTGGCAGGTGTCCCTGCCCGTGGCGAGGGGGTTGGATCTAGGTGACCTTTAAGGTCCCTTCTAACCCAAACCATTCTGTGATTCTATGAATCAGTTCTTGAGCTTCATGAGTGTAAGGACAGCAACAACCGAATCTTTCTAATGAAACAGGGATAGGCCCCGCCATGAGAACTCACCACATATGTGGTGAAACATTCTGATTGAAAACAAGCAGTAATCTATGAAAAGAAGTTCCCATATAGATAATATTTTGTGGGATTTTCCCCTCCCCAAAATTGATTCATGTTCTGTTTTCCATGCCTGCCAATGCATTTCTTCTCTTGTCTTTATTCAGAATTAAATACCTATAGTTAACAGTTTATGTTAACTTTTATAAAAAAAATAAATTCAAATTTTCATCAGTTTTTGATGGAAGATTGTAACCTGCTCCTGGATTTAGCCCCTCTGTCTATCTACCTCTTAGATAATTGGGTATGCTTTGACTGACTGGGACATTTCTTTCTAAAACATTATCCTTGCTTAACTGGTGACATTTCAGAGCAATTGCAGTAGCACATAAGGGAAAACACAGAAAACTGGAAAAAATTCTAGAGAGAAATAAATACTGATGGCCTCTTGATGCTGGAGTCTGCCAATACAACATAAAGAGCGCTTTCCTAGAAACAGATCTTGTTGGCCTGTGCAGAGGTTATGTACACTTCAAATATCTAAATACCTCTTTGTGCATATTGCTTTCCACAAAAAACAGAGTTAACTGGGTGAGTTTAACAATGATTTACCCTTCTCTGCCATCAAGTGATCAGTTGGTTCTTCTGGGTATTGAAAACGTTCACAGAACCAGCCTTCTCCAACTGACTCATGAAATTTCTAAAAGCTGAGATCTCATACTGATTGCTTGTAACATACAAGCCAAGAACCACAACAAACTAAAGAGTGAATCCTTCAATTCACTTGATTACTTTCTGCATCAATTTTCATCTTTTTTTGTTTTCAATCAGAGGAGTTATACGAAGGAATGAATAGGATAAATGAGTTCCTAACACTTTAAAACATCCCAGAATATTTTCAGAACTCAGACATGTTATTATCATTTAATGAATGCCTCAGGATTTATTCTCTATCCTTTGTTTATGTAAAGAGAGAAATTTAAAAAAGAAAATCTTTTTGAAACTCACATGTATCTCTCAAATTTTTTGCTACGAAAGTTGTGAATGTTTTAGTATCTTATTTTATAGTCTGATATTGAGAAGAGTGTATGATGCCTGAAAATGAAAGCAGTTTTATAATCAATTTTTAAATGTTTAGGCTGATTTTATTCTCTTACCTTAAAGGGATGTGATCTTCCTCCTCCCAGGTGGAAATAAGCTCTAAATACACAAGCCTTATATACACATAAAGTGGCTGAGTCTTTCAACTTTTGTAGAATTTCTCCAGAGCATACATGTGATGAATTCACCTCCAAACTGCTAATCCATTTGTTAGCAACATCAAAGAACATATTCCCTCTTCTAGTTTCTCTGTAATCTCACTTATATTACACTTGCAGGACTGAACTATTATGAGTGCAATAATCATGTACCTATATCCAGTTCTGCATATGCATTGTATATTAAATCCCTACACAGGTAAATAGCATAGGACTTGTGGGATAGATGCTAATGGAGAACGCTGGGTTTTTTTTTGTGTATTTGCTCTTTTTCATTTCTTCAGACTGTTTATATCTGTCCTGAACACAGTTCTACAGCATGAGGAAGAACTACATTTTTAAACTCAGTTTAGATTGTGGCACTTTAACTGTTTTCATCATAATTTCTCTTTCAGTCACATGCTGTGATACTACTAAAGTACTATCACTACGTGGATGATTTTTAATCCAATATTACATTGCGTTCCCTCTACGGAAAATGCCAGTCAGCATAACTGGGACTCATCCTATTGTACAGAAGGACACCTCGCAGCTTCAGCTTTACAAAAAGCAGAGATAAAAAGGAGCAGACAAAAAAAAAAAAAAAAAAAAAAAAAAAACAGATACCCTGGTCTTACCAAAGGGAAATTCTGGAAGATCAATAAAACCCTGCTTTCCACAATCAGGTGTATGGAAAGCAAGTGGCTGGGACATCAGGTGGGCTTTCAGTTTAGCAGCCTGCAAACCCTCTTTCATCAGTTTCACAGTTTGCAGGGAAGTATCTGGATCAAAATGGCAGTTGACTCCAACAATAGAAGCACCTAGGAGGAGGAAAATAACTTCAAGTCACAACTTCTCAGGACGTGGGAGGTGAAAGTTCTTAGTCATAGCACTCCAGAAGCAGAGCAGTCCATCTTTACACCAGCATTATGGTTGTGTTGGTGCCAGCCTCAACTTTCTAGAGGTTAATCATTTTATTCACATCTCAGTTGCACTCCTCTTTATATTCCTGATGATGAATCACACCTCCCACCCTCATACAGTTGCTTTTGTTATTGGGGCTTAATCAGTGAAGACTAATTATGTACAGTCACACATGCAAACAGACAGCAGATTCCTAACACGGATTCTGCCTTTATATTTTAACTCTTAACTCCAAAGGAAAAGAGTAGGTCAGAACAGATATAATAGACCCCTGTACCATCATTCATAATGCCTCTGATTAATTTTTTCTGTCCTTCCCCCTGTCCTGCAGAAAACAGCATTTGATAGGCAAAAAGATTAATTTTTTCATCCTCTTATTCTCTCATCTTGGGTTTGAACTGTGCTCCATACATTTCTAAGAACATGAGCAGAGAATCAAAAGTGACTTTAGATTCATGTTTCCAGAATTTGGGGTTGGCTCTGTACCAAATTTGAGAAGGTTTCAGTATCAGCTGCCTGTAGCTACTGCTCCCAATACCATCCTGGTTACCAGTGATTTCATAGCTGCATTTTCATGTTTTTTATAAGACCACTCCAGTAAAGCACACACAAAAAAATTTTCTACAGGGTCAAAACTTTTATCAGATGAAATTGGGAAGCTACCTACTTGAGATTATCTCAATACTTAAGGACTTTGCTTTGTTCCATACTTTTAAAGGGCATATTAAAACAGACTCTTACCAGCCTTTACCAGTTGGACAGCACATTGTCCAGGGGGCACACCATGCATGTCTCCTTCTGGACCAATGCACATTGTAGCTGCAACTGGCTTTCCAGATTCCTTCAAAACTTCAACTGCCCAGACAGCCTCTTCAACATGTTCAAAATACTGAAAGAAATTAAAACTGGACTACTTTTTTTTCCTTGGAGATGAAGCATAAATACATTAATCCAGACCTCAAATTCACCAGCAATACAATGTCTAGGTTCTTTTCTGATTTACACCATCAGAATTTAATCGAGTTCACTGACCACACAGCTGAAAACAGGTTTTAAAAACTTACTGAGTAAAACTAAATAAAAAGTAATGATGCTCTTGCTTCAGAATAAGAATGCCCATACAAGAGGTTAATCAGGAATTTATCCCCAAAGAACTATTTTCATCAAGAAAAGATACCTTAGGTTGGTTGCTTATGGGAGGAAATAGGAAGTAGTCAAGATCACATTAATTTATCTTCTTTGTACCAGTACAGAATTTGACTTGACTGAGGTAGAAATTTAGGTTTCAAGGTCCTATTCTAGGACACTTACAGATGCTGCTGTGCATGTAGAAAAACATCTGATACTAGCGGCATAAAAGCATAACAAAATTTTAAAGGAGGAAGAAATATATACTTGTACTCCCTGAAGTAGACTAGACGTCTTAAGGTTAACACTGTGCCAGTTGAAGGCATGTACTTTTTTTACGGATTTACCTCTGCAATTAGGAAGTCCACATTCTTCTTCATAAAGACATCTAGTTGCTTTCTAAAGGCTGCTTTAACCTCCGTTTTATCCTTGCAGCTTAAGTATGATGGTGTTTGACTGACTCCTCCAGCCACTAAAGCATCACCTTCATTGGCCACTTCTCTTGCAATGTCACAAGCAGCTTCATTCACTTTCTGGCACTGTGTGAATACAGATTATGTCAGTTTTTACCTGGTTAGAGATATGCAGGTAATTTTGGAAAATAAAAAGGACAAAAAGAGTCAAAAGTCATAATGTCTTCTGCATATTATTTTATAATTGAAATGGATTTTTAAATAATATTGATTAGGAAGATCGGCATGTTTCAAAAAATAACAAACATTAGGAAACAAATTTCTTGCCACCTCTAAATTATCATTTTAGCAAATACTACAAAAACATAATGCCTTTAATACATCTTACACAAAAAGTGTATAAAAAGCAAATATTTGGAGTGAAGTGGAATTTTCTTTGCCTCTTAGAAAACTAGTTAGTTACACTTCGGTGTATGCTTTTATTCTGATATTTTGTGGGTGGAAAACAAAATATGTAGTAATTTAAATTTTCATTCTTTTTTTTAATGCATTTTAATATTTTGTTAATTTTCAAATTTTAAGGTATAATATTCATAGAGAATTACTTATGGCATTAAAAATATATCATTAATTATCTGATGTTAAAGTTATCAATTTAAGAAATTGATTATTTTGTAAGTTAAGGGAAACTTATCACTATAGGATTAATTAATCACCTAGACTGAAAGACACATTTCCTCTATACTTAAATCAGGATGACTAGAACAGCTTGTGAAAAAGAGGTTAAGCTGGGAAAAAAAGATTTTGGGAAAAGAATCATTATTCGGGATAGATAACAAGTATTGATTAAAGCATGTTTCTCTGCAGCCCATGGACTACTTAGAATCTACATAGGTTTCTCTCAGCTGAAGTTTTCCATGGCTGCCTCAGAAGACCCATCTGATTTTTAAGGCTATCACTGACAGATTGTCTTCTATTTGCATTCGTGCTCAGGTAGATGTTTAGGAACTCCAGGAGGTGGAGCCATAAACCAGCTTAAGTCTGGAGGAACCTGCTTCTAGTACTTGAAGCAAATCAATCTTGAAAGCTTTGCTGCAATGCATTCCCAACAACAGGTGCTCTCCCAACCCTTATAATTCTGCATGGCAGCAAGAGTTGCACTGTGCTTTGTTCCAGAGGCACTGTGTTTCTGGGACTACCACTGCAGACATTTCAATGTTGCATCTATTGAATGCAAAGGTACGGGATTTCAGATAAATTTAGTCATATGACATTTTGAAAAGACATCTTATTTTAGCCTCAAGTGTTTCCCTAGCGTCCCGATTGTTCTAATTTCTGACTTGGAATATCCTCATAGCTACAGAGATATTCCTTCCTCCCTGCCCCCTGGAGAATCCCCTCTTTTTTGCAGAGTTTCAAATAGACAGTAAGACCTAGGGGAAAAGGATCAGAGAAAACATTCAGTGGCAAACGTTCTAGTCTCAAAGGAAATATCTAGAAATGTTTGTGCCAGAAGTCCCAGTGGAGCAGGGGCCTGCATCTAGTGGACACACACAACATCCTACAACTCCTTTGTGTAGAGGGTAAGAAAACAGCAACATGGTACTTCCGTTGCTGTAACAGATTGACTTTAAAACATGAGAAGAGGAATACTGACCACAGTGTATACCTTGGATTTTTCAGTTGTTACTTTACTGAAGACATGGTTCTAAAAAACATTCCATTCTCATTAGCCACTCATTATTATTTAGGATTCTTCTCCAATTTTGCAGTTGATTTGTTTCTCTGGATGTTAAAGCATTTATTTTTTTCACTGATTTTGTTTTCTATGTATTTAGTCCTCCCTATACTCTTGGTATCAAAACTCCAGTAAACTAATTTCTTCAGATGGGAAAAATATGATGTGGGCATCCTCTTTCCTCTCTTCATCCTTGTCCCATTTTGCTGGGTTTTTTTGTCCTTTAACCTTGTCTTTCTTGCTATTCCAAACTCTGAAATGGCATCATCTCATTCTTCTGTCCTCAAATATAGCCAAAACTGTTATGACAAATTGTGGAAGTACTCAATAATCACTCTACTAAACCTTCTGAAATAAATTTATTTCATATCTCCATCAAAATAGAGTTTTACTCACACTTATTTTCTCAGCTACATAATTGCCCCTGTTCTCTAGTTTGTCCTCACTGGCATAAAAGGTGAATGTCTGCAGAACATTGGATCCAGCTCTGAGGAATTCCCTGTGAAGCTGACGAACTGCAAAGAATTAAGAGACAAAGAAAATATGTTTGGTACAGTTATTACTGTGGTTCTGCCCAAATTAAATGTTTATTGAAGTAATGTTACTGCAAAATAAGTGATACTGTGTTTACTAGGAGAGCCATTATGAGTAGAAGCAGTATCCCAGTCTGTGTAGGATTTCTTTCTTCTCAATCTCAGAACATTAGGTAGAAAACTTTCTCCTTAGTTATTTTCTGCTAAAAATTACTGAAGATTTCTATTTAGTTTCTCAGTAGATTCAGTTTGTCATGACACCTTGCCTATCTTTTACTTTTTGCAGTCTTTCAGAACTCCCAATTTCATTTATAGAACTGCAGAGTGGTTTAGGAAGGGAAAGCAGACATCTGACAAAAGAACATAAAACCATAGCAAGGAATACCAGACAAAAGGATCAGCAAATGGAAAAGCCGTATTTTTTAGCTTCTAGACTATGAAGAAATAAACATAAAGTATTGTGGCAACAAATTAAGGGGCAAGATGATAATTTATATGGAAGAATACAGTGTTCCATTACTTCCTCTATTTTCTATTTTCTAGTTTTCTCCCCCTACAAAACTCTAGCTGAGTCTAGTCAGCCAAACCCAAAGCTCTATTTCACTAAATATACCCTTAATTAAAAGATTACTTGTTGCTTCAGAAAAGTGACTCACAACACAGACTTAATTCTTTTAATAAGTCAGCACAGGATTATTTTACTACAGAGCCAACACTTCTTTTGAAGGAAGGGCTGACATTACTTTTAACCAGAAAGTTTCCTACATTAAGATGGTGGGAGCAGGTCCTGTAATGTTAGTTCTGCCTTCATTGCTGTAAGCAGTACACTGCAATCACCACAGCAGGAACAGAAGAGGAGATGTCAATTGGTTTTATATGTATACCCACAGAACAACAATTATAACAATTTTTAGAACACTACTGGTCATGTAAAACAGAGCTAAAATGCTTAACATCTTATAGCAAATATAGGAATAATTTATTATAACAGATACCATACACAGACACAAGAATGCTTCAGTTTCTGTGGCAGATGTTTAGTAAACTTGTCCTGAAGTCTTGGTTTACCATACCTCATTGTCTACAGGCAACCTGTGTCATTAGGGAAATGTGTGAATGTGTCATGAGAATAAAATTACTTCCTTCAGCTGCAACAAACCCAGCCTTTTATGCCACCGAAATTCAAACAGCAGTTTGAGTTGCTAGAGTCAATCTGCATACATGCAAGCATGTCTGCTTTCATTGAAGGAACGGTGCAATGTCCCTTCCTTTTCACTACTAGTACAGTATTTAATTTCTACTTACAGCCTTGGGTAACCACACCGTGATTTAACACAATGCTTCTCTTCCCAGCAGTCACAAAGACCTATCCAGGAACCAAGATTATAGCAGAGCCACAGTTCAAAAAGTCCCTGGAATCTGCCTCAACTACCAGGATCAAATTTCAGTCTTACAACCTTTACACAGAGTCAAAACATTCCTAATGCAGGGTGTATTATTCTTCCCACAGCATTAAAACAGGCCATTAATCCCAACTAAAAGGACTGTCTCTGTATGTTTCTAGTATTCTTTGGAGAGAAATGAGAAGTCATCCTGACTAGTTTTCATCAGTGAGAAATCATTGATGAAATCTAGTCAGGAAATGGGAAAAGGAAAAAAGAATCTACCAATATTTTCACAAATGTTCTATGACATTTCCATAATAAACCAGATTTGTTTATGTCCATGGTTAGTTCTCTTTAAATATGGTTCTTGCATGCCTAAAAGTATGCCTGGGATTTGTGTGAATAAGGATGGTGACACAGGCAGGCAAACAAAACATAAACTAACACATATGAATAAGGAACTTCATATCCCAAACTATCAGGTATGCAAACAGGAGACTTGGATGCGTCTACATTTTGAGGGAAAGAATAGTGTTACAAGTATCAGCCTGAACATCATTCAACCCCAGGCAAACTGTTTTTACCAGCAGAATACACTATTATCAAGCCCACAGCAGTCTGCACTATCAAAAATGCAAACCACACTGTTATTTACTTCTTGTGTGGCTTCCAGCATGTTACTGAAGCTGTGTTTTCCTCCAGCATTTGAGAAATGTGGACAACAGCCCTATATGAAGCTAAACAATTGCTAACAATTTGATGCATTTTAGGAGTCAGATGTATAACACTGAGTTTTTATTTCAAACCACCGTGAATTGGACATTTCACAAAAGACACAGACTTAAGTTAAAAGGAGATGGGGGCAGTAAGTGCCTATGCATATTGCTCACTACAGAGCAAAACCTGATCTGTCTCAGAGGAAATATTTAGATCTCATTTCTAAACTTCTCAGTCTAGCAAAACTTCTCCTCTCCTAATGGAGATAATGGTTTTCAACTCTCCCCCTATTCCCCGCTGCATTCTCAGAACCTCCCTCCTATTCCCTCCTTTAAAAAGACAAGAAGGTCTGGTAGTTGTATGGTTTTCACACCAGCTGGCTCAGCCAGTTGCTTCTTCTGTTCTTTACATCTGCTTTCAAAGTAACACGACCCTTGAGCATGCCGGAGCAAAAAGCAGTAATGAAGGGGAGGCAGCTGACTGGACAATGAGAAATGAACATGTTTCACATGAAGGGTGTATTAATAAATAGCCTGTAAGTGGATTATAAAAAATTTATAACTATGTTACAGATGTATGCAATATGTTCTAGCAAATCAGCAGCAATTCTTAGAAAGCTGGATTCTAACCTATGACTTCTGATCACTTAAAGAAAATCTGTGTGCCACTTTAGACAGTTTAAACAATCTGCAACTGCCCCTTTGTAAGGCAATGTGTTGCATTCCCCACGGTCTGAGGCCTGTGCTTCCCCAAAAGACAGGTGGAGAGGGTCAAGGGCTTCTGACATGCAAAGTCAGTAAGCAAAGGGGAAATAAAGAGCATGGGTAAGTGCTATGATTTGTAAGATGGAATTTGCAGGGCAAACAAAGGTAGAGGTGGAGAGAAACAGGGAGAAGGGTGATGGGATGTCTATTGGGGAGATGAATTAGCAAATTAGGTCGTCACCCTGTAAATCTTTGCTGGAGCTCTGCATTATATAAGGCCCTCTGTGACCCTAAGGCATGCTACATTTAAAGTGACACCTGAAGTCTGAAAAGGATTAGGGTGAATAAATAGGTAAGTAAATGTACAAAACAATGTAACAGAGAGGGATAAGATCTCTCTCCTTCCCCTTCTCTTTCTTCTTCCCATGTATAGAGGAAAAAGACTAATTTGGAAGGGCAAACACTTAGAAGAAATGATTTTTTTTTTCCCCAAGGATATTCTGAATTGGTTTATGGGATTAACTGCATGTCGTATCACTAGGGCAAATGCTTTCTTGTAACGAAGCATACATAAATAGATAATGGCATCTGCTTTTACACTATTTATGCTAAACACTATAATCTCTATGCTGGAAAAGACACAATGACTGCTTGCTTTGTCTCCATCCACTTTAAGAGAGTTACTCCATTACGTGTTTATTGCAATTCTTAGATTCTTATGAGGTTTATCATTCCCCATTTCACAGTGGAGCCAGATAGATTAAATACTCCTCTTCCATTCCATTGTTTATTAAAAGCTCCTATTTTACTGGAAGAATTAAAAAACAAACTATATTAATTTGTAACAATATAAAAGTTGTAGAATGACCAGAACACAACAAAACAGTTAACTCAGAATTATTTTTCACAAGAACTTTTAAATTGTAAGATTTATATTAGCTGGAGGACAGACTGACAAATTCATGAGAGAGAAATTACTGATGTTATTAAATACAAAGACACCATACCTGGGTCAAAAAATCCCTGGGTTTCAAATTATTGAATTTGATTCAATTTGAAATTATTCCACCTTCTGGAAAGGTGTCACTGTATGTTTGCACTACGCATGTTCTTACCCAACCAAGTGCTTTAGGCCAGTATTAGAGCCAGAAAGGGGGTGAGATGAGCATTTGGTCTACAGAGTCTCAGACTGTTCTTAAGTGTAATTCTGAAGTGTCAAGGAACACTTATATTTAAAAAGCTATTACAAGTTCCTGTATGTTTATTATTTAGCCACCCATATTTATATTGACTACTGGATTACCATTTCCCACTAAAACTGACCTGCTTCTGGGTGTTCTACCGTTGCTTCAGGAGTCCAAGGCCCAGCTTTTACGTATCCCCTCTTTTCAAGAGCAAAGACAAATCCTCCATCTCCAATTACAATTTCTCCAGCATCTAAGCGCTCTAGAATACCCTGAAGAAAGCAGGATGAAAGGTTAGCAATTACAGTTCTTCACTTCTGTGGGCTTCTTTTGCCTTTGTTGCCATTTCCTGTATTTACAAAGCAGACAAATATTTGTGGGCTACCAGAAACACCTCTGCCATAATAGTAAAATGTAATAAATTTCCTCCTTGAAATTCTCTTTAAAGAATAGTAGATGGTCTGTTTGCAACAGAAGGATTTAATGTGTGCATATATCGTGTAACACTCTTCATTAGTCAGTCTTATTGTTTTCCAGGGGTAAAGTTCCCAGAACTAAAGTCAATGGTCCAATTCCATCCCTACGAAATTAAAACACTCTCTTAAATTCTCCCGTAAAATAGATGAGAAATGAATTCTTAAAATGAAACACTAGTACCACTGACCTCTTCATTAGCTCATTTGCTCTCTCACTACAAATGCCATCTTGACAGAGCCTCAGCACAAGTAGCTTGTGACAGCAGATGGCAAAACAGGCATCATAGAAAAGTATGTAAGATCTTCCTACCAAATAAAGCTTATCTCAAAATGCTAGCCTCCATTTTCTGACAGACTTCTTACTGGCCTGGGTTTGATTACCCAGACTTACAAAGTGAAAGAAAACTCTGCCTGTTTTGCAGAGCCCTGAAATGTTTTAAGATGCCAAATTACAAACCTTACAGCACTCTGATTAACCTTGCTTCTACCTTGAACTCGATGCTAATACAAGGAAAGTGGTAATTTTTTTTTATAAAATTGGAAAACACGAGAACTATATATATACATATAAATATTTTTTAATTATTATTCCTTTCGTTGATTCGTAGGCTTGTTCAAATTTCCAAAAAGTACTTTGCTTTTGCACTAAATAGGACCAATTTGTGCAACTGGATTACAAGCATAATTCTAGTTACTTAAAAAGTGGATGAATTAAAACCCATTACATTAACAAAGGTAGTGGGTACAGGAAAAGAATTATTCAAACATAAGACTGGAGTTTCCCTCCATGGTTATCTTTTCTTCTTGGCACACTAGCATTTCAGTAGATGAAATCTGAAGGAGTAGGAAAAAGAAAAGCCTTGTGGACATAGAGTTGAGTGTGGTTTTCATGCTGAGAGGAAGGGGTTTTTAACAATTAGCCGCCAACCTTTAGTAGATTATCTGTCTTGATAATTTCTCCTTCACTAGTTCAATTATCTCATACAATACACTGAGGAAAGGCAAACACTTATGATGTCTCTGCACCTCCCTTTAGGCAGGATGAGTGTATGCCTTTCCAATAAGAAGGAGCACTGTCCCAACTATGCTAGTTCCAGTACCAAGCACAGCAGTGCAAGGCTACTTGCAGGCTAGAAATCCTGACTGAGAGGCCCAGCATTTTTGGCTCAGGCACTAACATGGCAGCAAGGTGGCAGGACTTCTCTGTACAGTGCTCCTGTGCGTATGTACGAGCTGGGCCAAGTGCTGGCTTGCAGATCTCTGCATCACATTCCACTGCACATTGTGGACTTGCTAAAATACTGACCTGATTAATTTTATAGCTTTAATAAAGTGTGTGAGCTTTCAGCTTTATTTCATCAGGAGCAGGGCAAAACTCTGTTGGCAATACTCAATCTCCAAAACTGAGTAATTTTCAATTAATTTGCCAGTCACGCCTGCCTATTAGGGTAATTCTGTTCTAAGTGTAAATATCAAGAGGCTTTGTAAAGATTGTGTTTGCGATTAACTAATTTGCAGTTGTAACAGAATGCTTCAAATGGGGCCAGGGAAAGGCACCCAATAGATCCCTGGCTGAGTCCCTGCTTCTTCTGCCTGCTACCCACAAAAAGCCACAAAGGAGCACAGTGACGCAGTAAGCATCCATGCATATCAGCTTGGAACACCTACCATGTGATATAATGAATAGCAGGTGGCTTTTTCAAGACTCACTTATCAAGGAACAAAGAAAGTTGTGGGTATAAGGATTCTTGTGCCTACTTTTCCCAGTGTATGCAATTTGACTACGAGTCAACCACTTTATTTCATAAATATGACAGCCTAAGTGAGCCACCTTTGAGCTCTCCCTGTTAGGCAGCATGGCCGCATGGCGGTGAGCTCCTCTTGAGTTGGGACACTCTCAAAGTCGCTCCTCAAGGCAGAGAGGAGACCTTTTATCAATGACATCTTTGGATGAGCCCCATTCGAGTCCTCACAACTGAACTGCACACCAGCTAACTCTCTTCTTGAGCAGGGACGCCTCTCAGGGTTTGAGATTCCTTACCTGACACTAGGAGATCCTTACCCAAGGTGGAGAGACCCCTTACTTGCAACAGATCCTCAGTAAGTGACTGACAGCATGCTGAAGTAATACTAACAGAATGTTACTAATCCATGTAGCTACTCAATATTAATTATTATAAACTTTGTATAGATAATTCCATTAGACATAAACCATTTTCCAAGTCTGAGACTAAGATTGGACCTAGCCGCACCTAGGCTCCATAAGGAGTTCAGAATGCAAGTGGGGCCACTCTGAACCTTGTGACTCAGTGGGAAGGTCTTCCTTACTCTTTGCGTCTCCTGACTCTGTGTGAATCATTCTAACTCAATTCTAACTCAATTTTCCTTTGTATGTTTCTTCCATTAAGTAATTAATAAGATGAACCTTGCCATCAAACTTATGGATCCTTGGTAAACCACTGTTAAACTTCGTTAAGTTCCACTGAATTTATGGAACTTTGTTGAATTGTTATTTTACCTCGATAAAACATATTGGTGCTTCTCTCTTTTGAATAAGGTACATTCCACTCCCCCGTGACAAGACAGAGCCTGCTTCAGAAGTTTAATACGCAGAGAACAGGAGAGCAGAGGGAAAAAAAAATCTTTAACTTACAAGCAGCCTCAGTTGTTGTTTGTTAACTGAATGTATGTTGCCATCATATATAGATATTATACATAAATGCACTACAATTAACAAGATTTTTTTCTTTTAACAGGTCACTTGTAGGATTTAACAGCAGTTTTCCTTCCCAGTTCTAGCTTTCTTAAACTGCATTTTAAAATAAGCTTCACTTTTGACACACAGAAGCAACATAAACCGTGACTGAATAGACTGTGGCATCTTAACACATAATATACTGTGATATATTAAACCTAGCATGGGGGCATCAAATAGCAGGTGACGTAAGTATAAAGCACAAAGTACTTAATACAAACTAACTTTGTCGGTTTAGATTGCCTTAAAATTAAAATAACTTTTTTGCAAACCTTCTTACAGGTCTGATATCATCCCTTCACACCATTACTTCATCTATACTGGGTAAATACCATTGGTTCAACCAGCATATAGGTAGCATAAATTCAGCATCAGCATTGTTTTGTTCTGCCCCGGAGACCTACAGCTATGTGCTCATGTCCAATCCAGATCAAAACTGTACTGTCAGGTTACCTGTAGTACACAGATCTGGCGTTAAATAACAAGCAATGGTATCTATAAAAAGCTAACCAAGGCTTTTTTGACCCATCTTCTCACTGCTTTACTTTTGCTACCATGAATTAAGTTGTACCACATAGTCTATGCATCTATCCATGGAAAGATTGCAAATGTCTATACGAAGATACTTACTCAACCACTGTTAGGAATGTAACTGAATCATGTAAGTGAAAAGCCTGCTTGGTCTACCTATATCCTACATTTCTGTCAGGGGAGAGAAAAAAAAAAAATCTCAAACAACTATTCAGCTCTTAAGTGACCTCCCAAGACAAGCTTATCTCTGTCCATTGCCTGCAGGGTGAACTTAGGGCAATGGCAATTGCCTTCTGCTGGGTGTCTGAAGTCAGGTGGTAACAGTATGCGCCAAAAAAATAAAAAGCAGAACAAATACCTCTCCACTTTCTTCCTTTATTACTGATCTACCTGAAGGTCCTAGAGCTTAGAGACTTCTTCCCACATCCTTCTGCTCCCTTACTCTAGACTTATATGCTACACAAAAATGAGTAAAACCAGTTCTGGTCAAGAAGTGTCTTACTAATGATAATAGTGTCCTTCTGAGTGGAAGGCAGAATACATGATCCACTAACCTTCCCAAGCAGCAGTGCAGGTTAGCAGTACCAGTATATGTCAAGAGAGTTTGATTTAGACATTGCTCATACATTTGCTTTGATGGCCAGAGTGGCTGATGACTGGGTAACTTTTTATACTGCTTTATTTCTTTAGCTAAATGAGGGTGCAAAGGGCATGCATATATTGGAGACTGCGCTCATATTACAAACACTGTCGGTATTCAGTCATATAAGTCAAGAGAAGAGCAATTTGGGGCATTTAAATAGAGTTGGCAGGATGCTGGAGTCAGAAAACCCATCCAACGACAGTTTATGCTTAAAATATTTACAGTTTCAATGTGCTGCAAGCACAGTTTAGTTTGCATACCAAATAATATTAAGCAAAATGGGTTTGAACTTTTGTGGTTCCAGTCTGTGTGTTCAGAGCAATAAAATTTCTACGAGCTGTTACAACATTAAGTTCAACCTAATCTATCTATCTCATAATAGTGTCCAAATGTCTTCAATGGCTCGATGCTACGTCGGTATAGTTATGATGGTTTTACTTCAACTTTTCACAATATAACCTTACCTGCAGGAATACCGAGTACCTTACTGGGAGGTTGGGTTGTGCCAGCTCGGCAGCAGCTCCCCGGGACAGCCTGCGGGCAGGAGGCGGAGGAGGCGGCCGGGCGCCGCGGGGCCACGGCCCGGCCCAGGACCGAGCTCTGCCCGGTGCGGCGGCGGGGCTCCGGCCGCTCCCCTTGGCTCCGGCGCGGAGCTGCCTCTACCCGACCGCCCGGTCCCCCGCGGCAGCGCCGGCCCACGAAAGGGACCGCGGCGGGGACACGGCGTCCGGCGCTGGCCCTACGCCGGGCAGCGGCGCGGGGAAGGGCCCATGCGGAGCAGGCGACCAGGGCTGAGGAGGGGAAGGGAGACGGGAGAATTACCCTTTTGCCTTGTTTCGCGGTCTTCCCGATCGGCAGCATCTTCCTCGCCCAGGCGCGCTGGCTGCCCGCGTCCGACCCGACAGCTCGGCGCGCAGCTGGCGATACCCTGAGCGCTCAGGCAGCACTTTTATAGCCCGGGGAGGAGGCGGGCCGCGGTGGGCAGCGCTGTGGCCCACACCCCCGCCCGGCCCGGCCCCTGACCCCGCGAGGAGCCCGGGCACGGCCCGGCGCTGCCCCTCGCCCTCCCGCCGCCGCTCCCGCCCCCGCCTGGCTCGAGGTCGGGAGGTGCTCCGCTGCTCCCCCCGGGCTGCCCCCCTCAGCCAAGGGGCGGGCCGGCGCCCTCCTCCGTGAGGGCTGGCCTCGGCGGGGGCAGGGACGGGGCGCCGTCGGGAGAGGCGCGGAGCCAGCGCCCTCCATCCCTGGCAGCCGGTGGGCTGTTGTGCGGGTTGAGCACGATGCTGCGGGGAGCCCTGCGGCGGCTGCGGCTTCCCCGCCGCGGCGGCCGGCCCGGCCCCCTCGCCGCGGCTGCCCTGCGGCCCCTCGGCGGCGGCGCGGGCGCCCAGGGGCGGTGAGTGCGGGCCCGCGGGCCGGGCCGAGCCGGGCGGGGAGCGGGGCGGAGATGCGCGGGCAGAGGAGCCGTTAACGGTCGCGGCTATCAGCGCGTGGCCTCCGCGCTGCCTGAAGGCGCGGCCCCCGCGGGTAAAGCTGCCCTCAGGCGGCGGCCGTGAGGGCAAGGCGGGGAGCTGAGGGCAGCGGGCTCCGGCTGCCGGCTGCCGTGCTCCAGCAGCTGCCGGTCGGGGCCGCGAGGGCCTCTCCCCGCTTGCGCCTCGCATCGCTGCGTCGAAGACCAGACCCAACCCCGGGGTGAGTCGTTGGCCTGGGATAGAGAGATCCCCTCCCGGTGGCTTCGATGAGTAAAGAATGAGCTGTTTTAAGTGGCACCAGCAAACGTCTGGGTGAGCTGTGCGGTTCACAGGGAAGGTCCCCCCTGGATTCTTATCAGGCTCCTGGTAAAAGTAAAAGCTTGAGAAGAGCTGAAAGTCAGGTGAGGAAATCTCAAATTCACAGCATAAAAGAAGCATGAGAAAATCTCCCACTCTTGACCCTGATTACCATGTGCCTCAAAATTCAGTAGAGGAGCTGGTGTGTCTCGCATCTGGCTGTTAAACAGTTTACTGTTAACTTGCAAAGATTAATATGTAATCTCAAACATGAGCACATGCGAGTGTGTGGTGCACCAAATACAGAAAACCTGTGGTGTCCGGTGCTTCCGTTTATGTTACTTTTTATTCATTGCCACAGAGTGAATAAGCATGGTGCACATTCCTTCTACATTTGTGTTTGAAATGTCACATTGTTTTATAAGATCTCCTTTCATCATACATACAACTAAGAGTTTTGATTTCTGGGTGGAGGATGGGTGGAAGACTAGTTACACATTAGAAGGCTTTATGCTAGAGAAGTTGCATAAGTAAATGTACAAGGAGAGTGGAGATAAAATTGAGTATTGATTAACTGTCCTGAAGGGAAGGATACCGTGGTTTCAAAGTAGTCTGTACTGCTGCTGTACAAAGAGGTGCTACTTTGTCTCACATCCAAAAAAATGTCTTTTTAAAAATTGGGATAAATTTCCTGCTCTGGCTTGCTGCTTGGCTGTCTGTGAATGGGGCAGTGGAAGGTTCAGGTGGGATGAAGGAGAATGGGGCTGCCTGCGGCAGCAGTTCTGGTTTATGCTGGTTTAAAGTGGTTGTGAAAATGCAGTGTGATGTCGTAGCAGCTGTGAGCCAGTGATAAAAACTTGTTTATATTATTTTGACTTCAGCAAAGTAGAATATGTCAAAAAAGAACATGAAAATATATACTGTTTCACTGTTCATGAACATGTACACTGATGTAGTCTGCTGACAGTGGCTTTAGGAATTTATTAACGAGCCTTACTAAGTGGACATTTTTTAAAGACTTAATGTTGTCCATACTATAGCACTTCCAGAAAGTCAGGTTCTGACACAGTCATTTAGGGGGTACAGTTTTTTATTGAGAAATACGATCTATGGAGAAGGGTATATTGGACAGATAATAAAGATTTAAAGTTGTGAGTAGAAGCAAACTCACTTTGTTTTTTGTATTACTACTGTTTATGTATATGACCCATTAAGAGCATTTACTTCAAAAGAAGAGTGAACAGGTTTTAAATCAGGTGTGTCTAGACTCCCAAGCAGGCCCAAGTTTTATTATGATTGGAGCAGTAAACAAAAGAGATGGACAAAAGTGTAATTGTCTTTTTGTAACTGTCTATTTTTTTTCCCCCCTCAGGAAAGAAACCCCATCTCCTTCCTTGGGGAAAGATAGAGCAGACACAGTGATCATCGGAGGTGGCTGTGTTGGTGTGAGTCTAGCCTATCACTTGGCTAGGGCTGGTTTGAAGGATGTTGTTCTGCTAGAAAAATCTGAGCTCACTGCAGGATCTACTTGGCATGCAGTAAGAAATGTTTTGTTAATCTCTTAGATTAACAGTGGTTTGTATATCTAATGGTGGTGGAAGTTTCATTACCTTTATATTCCCTGGCTTTCCAGAAATTAACTATCTTGGTTATTTCATAGATACAAACTTTAGCACTGAGTTCTTTACAGATTGGCTGCATGAATTTTGAGAATTTGGTTTGGCTATCCATAGCACATGTTTCTCATTTGTAAAAATTGGGACAAATACTGTATTTTGAAATTACTGGAATGTAACTATTAGTATTATTACACATTTTTGGCAGTTGACTGGATTTAGACTTTAAGCTTTATTTTAACTTGGACTTTTTAAATTTAAGGTTTTATTTCTAAGGTAATCTAATTTCTACTGCAGACTTTATAATTGGAAGTGGTTGCACTGTCATGCAAAAACCAGAAATATGAAATTTGGCGTTACTGTATGTGTAATTATTTTTTATGTCCCAGAGAAAAGAGCTATCTTTCCTGCCAGTGTTGACATTACACAAAATCTTGTGAGGAGCAAAGTAGCAACTGTACTCTGTGGGTTTTTTTAAGGTCAAGTGTTTGTTTGTACTCTAAGGAAAAGAACTAAAAAGACATACATGTAATAATGTCAGGGTGGGGACACCTCCTGTAATAATGCTAATCTCATGGACATACTGGTGCACAACATGTATGTATGTAATTATATATTTTCCGTGTCAATATCTGGAGTAGGTAGTGTAATGAAATTAAATAAAGCTTGCCACTCTAACAGATGCTTTTTCCAATCATTTCGAGCTATGCTAACTGAAACTGGGAGAATGTTATCCCTGTGTGTAGCAATACAAAAGAGTAAAAACCCAACAGTTTGCTCTCCCTAGAACTACTCTGTTAATACAACAGAGCATTTATGCAATACTTACATCTGTAGTATCTGAGTGTCTTTCAGGAACAAATTAAGGAGAATGACTCAGATGGATTATATTTGATTTTTATTCCCATACTTCTCCCAGGGGAGGAAGTCTGAAGTTTGAAGTGCTTCATCTTAGTGCCTGTGTTTTGGTATTTGGGGCCTTATGAAGGAATAGTAAAAAGTCAAATTTAAAAAAATCACTGCGTGAAATATATATGAGTAGGTTTATACTTCATGTTACCTGCTTTTCAACAAACAAAGCAAAAGAAAACACATTGTATAATAGAGTTAGGAAAATAAAAATTCAGTAATTACATCTCTTTTAGGCAGTTATACCACAGCTGATGCAGTTCAGTGAACACAGCAACACCATGCATAGTGTCAGAACATGCATCTTGTGTATGGAATCATAACTATGAAATACTTAAAGAAATACTTTAACTTAAGTACATGACTGAGGCACAGACTGAATTCTGTTGACACAAAGCACATACATCCCCTCACTGGATAAGAAACTAAAATCACGAATGGAGGGGTTTGTTTCTAAATGTTTGCTTTGTTTTTGTTGTTATACGCACTATAGTTTATTGCTCATACCTATATAAAAGCAATCTCTCCTTCAGTATTTTTGCCCCCACTTCTTACTGAATGCAGCAGTGGAGCACTGAGTGAGGAAGTGTTTCAAAGGTAAGGAGGGACCTAAAGCGCAGCAGAGACAATGCCTGCACTACTGCTATTGAGAGGGCTGCCTTCTGGCACTTGTTGCGATGGAATTTGATGTGAACAGCACAGCAGGACATATAGTTATGGGACAGGTTAACTATTAGGTAAAGTACATGGTAGACTGTTTCTTCTCATTGAACTCATTAGAGTGCTCTGTCTGAACATGAAAAAGTTAATGGCAAGTCCATTTTAGATTATGAGAAAGATCAAGACTGTGACTCTGAGTTCTTTGCTATACTAGGTACTTTGCATTTATCAGTGATTTTCTCACAGTGACACAGAACTAGATACAGATGAAAATGACACATATAGTTATCACATGAAATGGCATGTAGTGTATTGCATGCATCCACAAATGTTAAAAGTCTGGTTCAGATGTTGTTGTACTATTCCACATTTTCCCTCTTTCACTGTCTAGTGAGTCCTGCCAGAGCTCAGGATCATGTTTCATATAGATCATATTCCTGCTAGTGTTGCTGCCAAAATGTTCTTCCACTTCTCAGGTGTGAGATAAATTTGGCTTTTATTAAAACAGCACAGAAAGTGTGCACGTTTTTATATGACCAGTAATAAGAAGATATAAATAACAGAGCAAATGCTGCCCATTTTTATATTATTATTACATTATTACATGTGTAAATTAGGTTCAAGACTTAGGCTTTAAGAACTCTTTAAATTGTACTATTCTGCAAGTCAGATCATTCGCAATCTCACTAAAGCCCTAGGTACTGAACAAGACATATATAACTCATTCAGCAAATAGATTTTTTGTGTTATTACTTTTTAAAAGATGTTGTCTAAGAAAATGTTTGACATATCATTCTATTATGTGATACTTTTTCTTGCAACATGCAACTGATTTTGCCGCTGACAATAAAGCACAGAACAAGACAAAAACTTGTTACAATTTGGTAAAACTTGCAAGAGCAGACAATATAGGTTATAACAATGTTAATAACATTTTCATCCAGAATGCTAATTTAATAATGGCATTAGTATAAAATCTAAAACAGATTAGAACAAAACTGATACATAAACTTTTCAACATATAAAAATTTCAGCTATAAAAATGCTTTAAAAACTGTGTCAATTTTCATAGCGAAATGCCCCTTCTTAAA